TAAATTATTTAATAAACTTCAAAAATTCATATCTCCCTCATTTGAGCTCTGTTTTCGACGTTCTTTATATCCCCACGTATATGAGACTATGCTCTACAACTTTCGTTTAGACTCCGTCGGCTAATTTTGACTTTATTTTTATTATTTATTTTTAGTAGGCCGGGAGAGGAAAACTCCGTTATAAATTCATAACTTCTTCATCCGACGTCCGTTTTCACCTATCTTTTTATCGTTTCACTACTATTAATGAGATCTTCAATTCTCGTTTAGATTGTTTCGGCTAAAAACCGCTCGATCTCAAATCGAGTATTTCGGGCTGCATACTGCTAAGTCGGAACTTAGAAAAATCATAACTTCCTCATACAAAGTCAGATTTGGACGTTCTTTTTATGCACGCTCACGGTTTAATGAACTCTATGACTTTCAGTTATATCGCTAAGGCTAAATATCGCTCTAACGTAAATTCACTTATTACGTCGCGCTGTGTTGTGTCGGTTTTGTCGCGAAACTTCGACAAGTCATAACTTCTTTGTTATAACTTGGATTTCGGCGTTCTTTATATGCACAAAATCCTTGTAACATATACTATAACTTAGGTAAGATTAATCCTTCTAAATAATATTACATCAAAAAGTCATTTTTGATGCTTATCGTCTCTAAATTAACTAGTCCTGATCTACGGGCGTTACTTTTATTGGTTTGGGTAAGTGTTATATTTGGTTTAATTCCATGTTATTGTTCGGTTATATCTTCAAGAATTTTTATGTGCCTTTTTCATGCCATGAAGAAATAGTGGGTTACTGAGGGGTTGTATCTCGTATAGCGGGTTCCAATGTGTTCGATTGTTATCCTAGTTTTGGTCGAGATCGATTCAGGGGGTATTGTGTAGAAGGTGTATGGTTAGGATTCAACGAGTTAGTTCTCCAGTGTCATCAAGGTTCAGTGATTTTAGTAATTATTCTGGTAGGAGCGGTAGTTGCCTATGGAAGAACTATTAGGTTCAAACACTAGTACTGCTAGGAAAGGAGCGACAATAGGAAGCTGGTGGTGTTAGCTGCATGAGTTGTTTGGTCATTTGAAATGTCACGGGTGTTTATATTCGCTCAGGTTGCAGTCGATCAGGATTTAAGTATTCTAAGAGGATGGAAGTTGGGATAAAGATTCATCGGTTAATAGTAAGGGTTATAGTTCCAGTCACATGCATAAGAGCTCTGGATTTTGTATGGTAGCATGGGAGGTGAATTAGAATATCAGAATGGCCAATATTTCAAGATTATTCTTCAGGATTTCAGGAGTTGGATGATCATGGAGTTTGGATAGCAATGGAACGCTAGTATTGATTAGCACAGGTTATAAGTGGTTCATGCTAATTGTGGTAGACAGTTCAGAGACCCATCAGAACTAATAAGTGAGAGAGCTTCGTCAAATCCAAGTAGGGGAGAATCGATCTGGATTTCTGAAAGTTTGGAAGGGTGTGGAACAAGGGCAAGTTTCACATCCTGACAAAGGAGAGAGACGAACCAAGTGGTCGTTAGATTAAGATTGTGTAAGTGAGAGTTAAGGAAACTTCCCAACCGATGGTCAACGTCTTTTTTATGCATAACAAGGTTGTGGTCAAGTCCAGGTTGTCGACTTTGGGATTCGAAGCATAACCTGAACATTTGTTTGGATGCAAGTTTCTTAGGAGGCGTGTGGTTGTGATGGTTAGGGTGTGGTAAGGCTATGGGTGGTAACCATGGTTGGTTGACGTGTTGTAATACTGCGGTGGGATCATAGCATTCACCAATTCGAGCTAGACTACTGTTAGAGGTGGTCATGAGCTTGGAGAGGGAAGCAGTTCATGCCTTGTACATGCCGGTCAGAGATGTCGAGGAGTATTTATCTGTTTTGGGTTGAGGATCGTTGGGGTCTGAGGCGGAGTCGGGCCTGTGTAGCTCTAGACGAGTAGGACCATAGGCGAGGCCTGTGTGATTATGACAATACAGATCGGACCTGGTAGAGACCGTTGGGTCAAGGTTTGGGATTTTAAGTTGCAGGATTAAGTGGGTGGTCTGTGTATGATGCAGAAAGGTTTATAGGTTGGGTAGCCATATTATTTTGTACTCTTGGTAACATGGTGGTTGGACCAGGTGTGAGATATTGGATTAGGTGTCTAAGCCCATAACTATAATTGGTATGTACTTGACCCGAGAGTAGCATGGTCCATTTGGGTTGCGTTCACCAGAACAATCTAATAGGATGGATATTTGAGAAAGAGGTTATTTATAATTTATTAATATATTACAAGTATAATATATTAATATGAAATCATATTATTTAATTAGTATTGATCAAGAATTAATTTGGAATTAATTTAGTAATCAAAATTAACTAATTAAATTCATGGTGACTAATTATGAAAATCAGTGATATATAGTGTTTGGGCTATTGATCCATGTTGGGCTAAGTTTATGTAAGTATCCATAAGAGTTATCCCACATGAGATATGGATCATAACCCAAGTGTACGAATTAGGGTTTACCCATGACTCTTGGAATCCTACACTATATAAATGTTTCCCCTTAGCCAAAATCATAACCCTATGTGTTCTAAGAGTTTATATAACTAATTTTGTGTGCTCCATACTCTCTCTCAAAGCCCTCTTTTGTTCATGGTGTTTGTGAACCATTTGAGGCATCACACTTGAGGTGCTAAGCTTTTGAAAGGCCGAAACTACAAGCTACAATAAAGAGGTATTATTCTAACTAGGTTTATGATTCATGAACCAAATTGTATGCTATATGTAGGCTTCATGCTTTGGAAATTTTATTGCATGTATAATTAGAGAAAAGATAGATCCAAAGCATGTAGGGTTGCATGTGCGCCATATGAGTGTTATAGTGCTTAAAACCCAACAGTTGTATAAGAGCCTAGGATTGTTTTTTGTTATATTTGATGCTTGTTAATTTTCAAAGTTGAAAAAAATCGATTTCATGGCCTCCGACTGATGAACTCACCGAGTCCACTGGCTGACTCGCCGAGTCCACTCAGTAAAAGGGCAACTCGATGAGTCAGGCTCATGCACTCGTCGAGTAGGTGCTTCTGGTTGCAGAATTTCAAGTTTTTAGCCAGAATTGGAATATGATCATTACCACAAACTATTTAGTAATCATGACAATTGTATTTTCAGATTTGGTAATGATGATCTTCTTCCAATTAAAAGATAATTGTCAAAGTTTTAAGTTAAATTTTTACTTATATGATAAACAAAGTTGCTTGTAAATTGTTGATATAAATTATCTTGCCATATGAGTTAAATTAGATCATTCCTAGATTATATGATAATTCTATTTGTTGAAATTGATCTAAATGTTGTTTAATGACTTCCATAACTTGTCATCAAGTTATGGAACATGAAAAGTCTCATCCATTAAAATGACATTAAACTTATAAGTTATGGAAATGAAAAGTTTTCAAGAGTTACAAAACATGCCCTCAACTTTTGGTATTTGAAAAGTCTCAAATTATGAAAATATTAACTCCTATAATTGAAAGGTTTCAAAAGATGCAACTCATAGGTTCATAACTTAAAAATTAATTAAAAAGTTTTAATTTGAATTTTTAATAACCTAGATGGTTTGAATAGTTCAATTACACCTTATGGAATTTATTAAATTAATTAAAGTGTTTAATTAAAAGAGAAGTTTAATAAATCCATAATAACATGGTTTAAGCTTAATTAAATTAAAAGTCAATTTTAATTAAAAGATTAAACCACCTATTATTTTAAATGTTTAAAATACACCCTTATACTATATAAAATTAAAAAGTTTAATATTATATATATATATATATATATATATATATATATATATATATATAAGTTAAAAGTCAGTCTTACCGTCAGTAGACCTCATTCACGAAGTCGGTCTATAAGGGGGGTGTAAGATTACTGCTTATAAAATGGTCGTTAGCCGAATGGGTAGGATATGACATTAATTCTCATTAAAAGTATAATGAAAATACCAAGTAACTAAACACTTATAAATTCCCAATCTTAGTTACTTAGAAAAAATGTGAATTTGATGCTAACCCATGAAATTGCACTTTGCCCCTTATCAAATCGTTAGTGGAGTGTGTGTGGTTAACTATCATATTGATTAGATGATTTGTAATATTAAGTGTACCAAGCTAATTTGCATGGTTATTCACACCTTGTTTGTGATCCTGGCATCCTAGTCACAAACTTGAACAATATAATCGAGATTTAAACATGCCATTGAAAAGTTTAATGAATCTTAAAAGATCTAGGAATTTCAATTCATTTAAAGCCTAATATTCTTTTTCGTTTTTCATAGTGGAAATTGGTAAATTGTCATTTACCTACCTTCAAATATTTTACAATTGGATTATGGTATCCCTCTTCTGAATTGTATAATATTGTATTGGGACCTAGCCTTAATATTTCATTTTGGGTGTTATGTTAAGAACTTATAACAACTAACTTGAATTTCTTCTATTATAGATGTCTAGTTCAGACAACTATGGTATTTCCAAATCTTTTGGAATAAGCTTTCCTCTGTTTCAAATTGATAGTCCACTTTTGACTTTTGAAGTCTTTTTTCTTCAACTTTGAACTTAAATATTTTTGTTTTTTTATAGATAATAGTTGATGCAAAATATATAAATGCATTGCATTTTAAATGTTTTTTTCATTATTATAAGTTTTATCAAGTAATATATAATATAAATAAAAATATTTAAGATCAAAGTTTAAGAAAAAAAACTTCAAAAATCAAAATTAGACTATCAATTTGGAACGGAATAAAAGAGTAGAATAGTCGAGACCACCACGTAAGAAATTGAAACTATAAGGACCATTCATGTAGTGAAAAAACATTTGGGGTGAAACTTGCGAATCTGACGAACCACACGGACCATTTACATAATTTTGTCTATAATATATTTAATTAAAAATTACTTAAAAATAACATTATTCTCTTTATCTATCAATTTACTTATATTTACCCATTTAATTAATCATGCATAACAAACAACATGGTTGAATAACTCAATTCATATTTGAAAACAACCAAACACAATAAACAATATAACAAACCATTCCAATTCCATTTTTAACAATTCCATTCAATCATGCCACACAACTAATTAAATAAATTAACAAATCTATTTTCATGATTCATGACTATTTGCACTTCAAATTCCTAACAACAAATGTAAAACCACTCCCACAATACACCTTTGATGTCATATCTTGATTTTGACCAAATGTTACAACTTGTGGACTTTTCTCGTCACATGTCTTCCCTAACCCAAGTTGACCATGTTCACCCCACCCCCATGTCATCACCACTCCATTTTCTACATAAAATTTATACATTTTTTTATTATTATTAATAATAAAGAAGCAAAAAAAAAATAATAATATATAAAACCCAAAATTCTTGCCTGTTGTAAGAACAGAATGCTCTGATCCCGAAGCAATCCCAACACAACTTTTATCCCATCAAGTCCATGAATTTTTTCCACATGGGCTTCGTTTGAATCCTCTGTAAATCAAGATTATAAAAAATTATAAATTTTATAAAATTTTGTGTTATGAGTTTTTTTTATTAGGTGCATACGTTTGACCGAATTGCCCTTTTGAAGGCTGTTAAGAACCCCATGATGGCTGCCACCTAGCATAACAATTTCCCCTTCATCTGTAATAAGTTTGGTTACAAGAATTAATAAACAATGACAATATTTTATTATCTTATATAATATAAATTTGATTTTTTAAATTCTACCTGTTAATATTAAGGCATGATTCCAACCAAGGGCAGTCTGTGTGAATGAGAATGGTGAAATTACCAAATTGGGACTAGACACATCTGCTTTACTTCCAAACCCTCTTCCCCAAGTGTACAAATCACCATTTTCTAACAACAAAATGTGATTAAAATATTAAAAATAAATGGAAAAAGAAATTATGATTAGTGAGATGTGAAGTTTCTTTAACTTAAATTATTACTATCACTAACCAGATAATGCTGCACTATGATCTCCATTTGCAATGATACTACTAACATTGACTTCCTTCAATCCATTAACACTTTGTGGAAGATTTATTGATTTGACTTTATTAGATATTCCTAGTTGACCACGTTTTCCATAACCAAAACTAAATATTTGGTTTCCATGATCTAAAAATTCAATCATATAAGCAAAGAAACAAAGCTTTTATGGATAATAAATGAATATTCACAAATCACAACTATCAAGATTACCTTTCAACAAGACTAATGAATGACGCATCCCACATGCAATTTGGTCAACATGTTTGGATGAAAAAGACGAGACTTTGACTGGATAACTTTGTGACTTGTAATCACCATGTCCAAGTTGACCAAATTGCCCATCTCCACAAGTAAAAAGTTGTCCACATTCTAAAACCAAATAAAGAAAAATCAGATTATGATCAATATTGTTAAAAATGACATTTTCAAGAACTCTCAAGTGAGTACAAACCTGAAACAAAACCTGAGTGATTCCATCCAGCTGAGACATGGGTTATATTGAATTCATTTAAAGCATCAATAATTTTTGGTTCTAAGCTATTGACAAGATTTCCATGGCCAAGTTGTCCAGATGTACCCCTTCCCCAAGTCAACACTTTTTTATCTGTAAAGAAAGAGAGAACGATTGCATAAAGATAAAAAACAGATGGCATACATGTAAATAGGGGGGGTATGAGGATACCTGGTGTAAGGGCAATGACATGGGCCCCACCACAAGAAAGGAGAGATAAAGAAGGAAGGATATGGAGAAGTTGAGGAAGGTGTTCATCTTGAAGCTTGCCTGTTCCTAGTTGTCCCTCTGTACCTGCTCCCCAACTCCATACTTGTTCTTCTTCTTCTTCTGCTGTATCTTTCACTCTTTCATTTGCTTCCATTTTGGTTTTACTTATTTGTGATCAAGGTTATCTGACGATCATACGAATGTTAATCCCATTGGTCAATGAAGATGAATAGAACTTGATTGTGATCGATAATGTGAGGGTTTGATGCCTAGAAAACACATGAATTAGATGGATAAGTTCGACAATCGACACTAAGAAACTCCAATCACAAATAACTTAAAATTAGGCCCTAATGTGCAACAATTCAGGTGATTGCTTTTCGATAAGTGTTTAATCAAGCAACAAGTGTACTTTATGCATTAAGAAATTTCAGTTACTCTAAAAATCTACGTATGTTCACTTTCAGTTTCGTTGATGATTATTCTTCTCGGTTCTCATACAAATGGACAGTATAAGTGAGCATGATACAACTACCGATCAATCGAACGATATTCTTATGTAAGCATACCAATTTCGCGGATCAGATTTCTTCCACGAATATGCAAACTTACCTAAAGTGTGACAGATGTTTACATAAACCAAAAAGTTATAGAAGGAAACCCTAAAAACCTAAATGAAGAGGAAAGAGGAGTGTAAGATTATCAGAAGATGGGGAATATGATACCTTGAAGACTGGTCTAAGAATCAAAAGCTTGTTTTTGCAGCTTCTTCACTTTCGTGCATCAATGGCAACAGGGCACCCATACTATAAGTCTCAATTTTGACTTTTGATTTCGTTTATTTGACTTCCAAAAGATAGTAAATTTGTAATGCCTTTATTTATGGGTTTTTGCTGTATAGTTTATAGGAAAAATGATTTAAGAGGATAATTATTTGTTTGGTTTGTTTTCAGTAGATCATTTTTTTTTTTTTATTTAATATACCATTTAATTTTTTGTTTGTGTTCACATTACCCATTCTGACTGGCTATCACCTGTTAGGAATGAGGGAATCATAGAGGGTTGGAGTGAGCGGGTTTGACCAAGCAGGAAGAGAGGGATGAGCGGGAGGAGCGCAAGAGAGAAAGAGAGGGTATTGAGGGTTCCTCAAACCGCTAGAAGAGAAGGAATATGGGGAAGATGGGTTGGGAGGGATGGGGTTTAGGCGGGTTCGCCTCCTTCCAGAAAGGGTTTAGCAGGTAGCGGGAAGGACGGGAATGATTCCGTCGACCCTTATTGAAGGTTTTCGGTCTTTTTGTCCTCTTCGGCGAGATTTCGATGAACATGAATATTCCGGCGAGTTATTAGCAAATGTTCTTGTTTGTCAAATCTAGAAAATCTCTTGAACATTATCACATCATAACCCAAACACAATGAAAACTAAAAACTGAAATTGTGTTTGTGTATGATAATCAAAAGCTGAAATTCTTTTTTGGGGTTTTCGTTTGAACATGATGGCAAAATTGTCACACCCCCAAACCAGGATGGCGGAAACGTCCAGGGGCGGGTGACTATCATGTAGTATATCATAACAGTTAAGTATAAATGTTCAAAGCAAACACAACCAACATATATATAATTAAAAAAAGTTACATCATTTCTACGTATTACATATTTCAGAATATCAATTACAATATGTTGTCAAAAGATTTGTGTAGACGCCTAAGCGTCCCATCCTCAAAGCCAATTGTTACCTGATTTATTGATTTCCTGAGAATACAAGTTATTTAAAAGAGAGTATCAACATTTAAGTTGGTGAGTTCATAAGCATTTGTATGTATATTGTAAACCTTTTCTATGAAATGTAGTAATGTTTGTTTTCCGGAAAATCCTATATTTTCCCTAAAATGAGATGTGGCCTTAAATGAACCAAGACCGAAGCGTATAAGTAATTTTCCTACTTAAAATGATGTTATGCAGTTTTGTTTGTATATAAAACTGTTTGAAGACTGTCTTTGCGTAAACTAAAAGTGTCATTGTTGTTTTACGTGAGTTTTAATTTTTATCTTATAATCATGCTTGATTGACCCAAACTGCCTTGTTCGCAACGTTCTTCAGGTGTCGATTTCGTTATAACATTTGTCACCCCTAGACCTGCCGGTCTAGCAGTTGCAAGCAGCTAAGGTGCGGGATTGTCGGTCCCAGTATAGATCTATACACAACTATCACGCTCTCCCTACAAGAGACTCTGGTTATATTTAACAGGACTTTCGTGTGTACTTTATAAGGTACCTGAAGACAAAACTCACTAAATTTGTTCAACGAGTTCTTGTTTTTGTGTTGAAAATGTTTGTATAAATGATCATCCCCTAAGACTGGGATAGCTATGAAAAATGACGTGAAATATTTAGATATGCATTTGACAATATTTTACCATTTGCTCAACAAGATACGAATGGAGTAGAGTTTCGTAAACTATATATGTATATTTTTGATGTAGAAGACAAGTTTGTAAACAAAACATATATATGTAAATGGTTTTATATATATATATATATATATATATATATATATATAATATATATATATATATATATATATAT